GTCAAACAAAACAATTTTTTTTTATATAGTCAACAACATGCATTATACGGATGTTCTTAATAACAATCTTGAAAGAGAGTTTACATGGCCATGAAAAATAGAAACATGCATATGCTTTTTAAAACATTGTTCTTAAAAATCTTGAAAGAGAGCTTACACGGCCATCGAAATAGAAACATGTACATAAATACTAATAATCATGGATATATATATATATATATATATATATATATATATATATATATATACGTGTGTGAAAAAAAAAAAACATGTACATAAATAGTGTTTATTAAAACCAAGTGAAGTCTCCCAATACTTCATCTTAGTCAATTAACAAGTTATTTTAGTTTGTTTTTAAGATATACTAGTTAAGGTAATTTCATAAGGATAACAAATGACTTAAATAGGTGGGAATATATAATACAATCTTGATTGGTTCGCAAAAATGAAAGTGGAGATCGTAAAGAATTAGGATTTTGTGGGTGAAGTTTAAATCAAGCATCTTGTTTCATGTCCTTTTCGCACCACCACATGCATCAAACGTGAAATTTTCCCTAACGATAGGACCACCAAACGTGAGGATACTCAGCCAAGGGAAGTCAGATTATGTAATAGTGCTGCATGCTTCAACTACAAGTCTTGTTGAGGTCTCTTTCTAGAATCGATACCATTTTGTCCAAGCCGAAGAATAATTACCACATGAAGCTCGTGCTTCTTCTTCTTCTCTTTTTTGTTTGAATCTAAGCCACCTTAGAAATTATGCTCTTCTTTCATTAACAAGCCGTTTTAGCTGCCCCATTTCTGATCGTATACTCTTAAAATCTCGTGATATTATTCTTGTTTGAAAAAATATGTTTGAGAGAGAGAGAGAGGAAGAGGTCAAATTTACATGATGAAATTTGATAGAAAATACTAGTAAATTTCTTCCACTAAGCTGTCTCGTGTGATGCACTGATAAATAGATAAGTAGTACGTAGAAATTAAATGGATCATAAGAAACACATGTTATTACCCAAATGAAGCACCAAAAGTCTTTGGTTGGAATGGAAAAGAGTCGGACCGAACATCATTTACCTTACGAATACTAAATAAACTTTTGCAATAAAAAAATATTACCACAAACATCTCCTTCAAAAATATTTAAAACATGTTAAAAATCCAATAGAAAATGAAATCATTATTAAAAAAAAATTATGATACACTAGACCAAATTTTCACTTGTACGTACTTAGAAATCATTAAACTAAAAACACATATAATATAAGTATATAACCTTAGAACCCTCCGAATATTATCATCTATAGGCATGTCAATCGGGCTGGCCCGGCCCGGCCCGGCCCGGCCCGGCCCGAAGCCCGTAAAACCCTTATATATTTAAGCCCGGCCCGGCCCGGCCCGAAAAATATTCGGGCCTATATTTCAAAGCCCGGCCCGGTCCTGACAGGGCTACAGGGCTTTTTCGAGCTTTTTCGGGCTTTTCTTGAAAATAAAACTGATTTCAAATTTTATATTTTTTTAATTGAAAATGATTGAAACAATTCAATTTAAATATAAGTAACCACTAATATTTATTTAAACTCACTTTATTTTAAAAGAATAAAGTTTTTTTATTCGTGAAATTAAAAAAAATGTTTCAAAAGTAAACAAATCCAAACAAAAGAGTTTAAACTCATACCAAATAAAACACAAATCAAAAAGACTTCAAAATTAGGTATTAGAGTCAATATTTGGCTCTACTTCAATGCCTTCAGAATTCTCCTCCCCTTCCGTGTCTTCTAAATCTTTCTCATCATTAAGAGCTATATACAAACATTTAACTTATGTTTATAATGAATTTTGACATGTATAAATCAATAAAATATCATATATAGTTTTTTAAAATAAAAATAAATAAATAATTACAAATAACATTTATTACCTGGATCATCATACGTAAATCCATCCAACCAAGTCCGTGTACAAACCAGAGCTTCAACGTGTCTTGGTAGAAGACGACTTCTATATTTATTCAAGACATGCGCACCAATACTAAATGAAGACTCTGCTGCCACCGAAGTTATAGGAATACTCAAAACATCACAAGCCATACGAGCTAGCTCCCCATAACGTTGTGTTTGATTCTTCCACCATTCTAAAACATCCATGTCTTCATAAAAGGTCATTTCCAACCTATCGTCTTCTAAATACACAGCCAATTTAGACTTTCCTTCTTCTAGAATAGTACGTTTCTCATATGCTTTGAAATCCTATTATTAACAAACCAAAATAAATTAAATTCTAGTAATCAAATGGTTAAATTAAAACCAAATATATAAAGAAAGAATCTAGTAATCAGATGGTTAAATTAAAACTAAATATATAAAGAAAGAATCTTACGCTAAACAGACTCGAGCGTCTCACACTATGGGTTTTGGCAATAAAATCTGTTCCACGTGAAGAAGACGAGACGTTCGTTGAAGTTGGAGTACTCTTATACTGATCAAAGAGCAAATTTAACTTTTGCTTCACAACTTCAACCTTTGCCTTAGTAGTACTTGGATCAAGTTTATCAAAACAATATGTCAAGATCTCTACCTTCATTCTCGGATCTAGAATTGCTCCGATGGAAAGAATGATACTATATTCTTCCCAGTACTTATCAAACTTTGTCCTCATTTCATTTGCCATGTTTTGCAATTCCATGTCTCCATCATTTGAGTAACTATTCAACAAGCACTCAATCTTCCATATTTGTGCAAAATACAAATTTGCCGTAGGATAACTTGTACCTGAAAAAAAAAATGACTTTCTTTTTAATAAACATTCAACAATTTCTTAATAAAATATAAACTTGCAAGATGATAAGTTGTACCTGAAAACAATTTGGTGATATCGTAGAATGGTTCTAAGAAAGTATATATCTTTTCCGCTTTATTCCATTCCTCATCTGAGGGACAAAACTTGTAATTCCTTTCAGCCCTTTCTAGTAAGGAGAAAGCTCGCCGATATTTTATTACACTACCAAGCATCAAGTAGGTTGAATTCCATCTAGTGGAAACATCCATCTTCAAACCAGCTGTATACTTAATACCAACGTCTATAACACATTCTTTGAATAGGTCTTTTCTTCCTTCTGACCACTTGATCCATTTCACTGTCTCTCGAATCTTATGCAAAGGACTCTCAACAAATTTCAAACCAACTTGCACTATAAGGTTGAGAACGTGAGCAGAACATCTGATATGAAAGAATTCACCATCACATAGCAAACCATGACGTGATGAGAGTTGATCTCTAAGAATGCTTTGCATATTATCATTCGAGGAAGCATTGTCAAGCGTGAGAGAAAATATCTTCTTCTCTATTCCCCAATCTTCCAAACAACTTAGAACCTTTTTAGCCAACTCAAATCCTGAATGTGGTGGAGGCATAGCACAAAATGACAGTATTTTACTCTTTAGCTTCCAACTATCATCCACATAGTGAGCTGTCAAACATATGTATCCCTCGATACTAATTGATCTCCAGACATCACATGTCAAACATATCCTATTACCAACACCGGCTAGCTCTTGTTTCATTTGCTCTTTGCGAATCCCATGAAATTTAAGCACGTCGGCCACCGCAGTATTTCTACTAATGGTCTTGTACTCTGGATTCAAATACTTCAAGAGTTCCCTAACTCGTGGGTACTCTACAAAAGAAAACGGCAAGTCATGGCATATGATGACCAAAGTTATTAACTCACGAACAACTGAATGATCAATCTTTCTTGCTGCTAATCTTGCTTCTGCAGAAATCAATTGTTGCCCCACATCACCATTTCGTGGTCTTTTCTTACATCCTAACATATGGCGTTTCATGGTGGATGTTCCATGATTTTTTTCTACCACAAGTATTGCAGCACAATGTTTGCATTTTACAGTTTCTTGCCCATCACTGTTCTTTCCATTAAGACCAAAGTGGTCCCATACCAGTGAAGTAAAACGACGCTCCTTTTGTTTACCCTTTCCAGAACTTCTCGATTTCTTCTTCTGTGATGGTATGTCCTCATCAGTATCAAACTCATCTGATTCAACATCGTGAACGTCATGATCATTCGTGTCCATTTTAAATCCTGTACAAATAAATAATAAATTTCAAACGTTGTATCAAAAATCAAAACAAAACTAACATCATATATATATATATATGCATGTATGAAAAAACTAACATATATATATATATATATGCATGTATGGTATATACGTTCAATGTAAACAAGTAAATACACAAGTAAACATAAACGTTAAGTGTATAATAATTCAAAGAAAGCATATACGTTCATGGTATGGTACATCATTGTTTCTGATAATCTATCGTGCAGTTTTCGATGATAAACAATTAAAATAATACATGTAGAGATCGAATAATCATCATCGTTCTTAATTAATAATATGTTTGATTAAACAAATAATTTAACTTAGAAAGATGTGCTAGAAGTAATAACCTCTTAAATACGATGAAGTTAAGAAGCATGAGCTGCAAAAAAACTTATAACTCTTGGTTTTATAGTTGGAAGGTTAGGGTTAGGCAGTTAGGGTTAGGATTTTTAATTATGTTTAATTTTTTTTTTTAAAAGTTAAATTAAATATTAATTAAAAATTATATTTTTAGGGTTCTTCGGGCCGGTCCGAGCCCGATCGGGCTAAGCCCAAAAAAACCCTTTGTCCAAACGGGCTTAGCCCGAAAGGCCCGATATTTTTTGGACATTTATATTAAAGCCCGAGCCCGATATTTTTAAGGGCCGGGCTGGGCTAGCCCGCGGGCTTTGGCCCTAATTGACATGCCTAATCATCTATCTTTGAGAAAAAGTATTTACTACCCTTTAAAGTTTAACATACCAAATGGATCGGGCCGACAAACGAAATAGCCCAATATTTTGCAGACAAGCCTGAAACTGTTTCAAAGTAGGCCCAATTATGCTATATATTTATGGACAGATCTTGAAATCTCAAGTCAAAGCAAAGACATAATAATATTATTACGGTACTTTTTGTTTTCTTCTTTCCCAAGATCAAAATTTCCCGACGAAGAACACACTCTCGACAACTCTTGTGACGGAATCGATGGCGAATTCGCAGACGGTGATGGCTATGATCAGGTTGGCTAGACCACCTTTTCGCAACAACCACGACAAGGTCGCTTTCGCTATTCACGCTTCTTTCGTCTCTTCCGGTTACATCCTCACTGCCACCGGGCGGCCTGCCTTCGCCGACGACGCTCTCTCTTCCTCTTCTCAGGGTTAGTATTGGTTTCTTTTTTGGGGGGTTTTAGGGGCTTAGGAGCTTCTTCGATTTTTCTAGGGTTTAGGTTTAGGATTCTGATATTTGTTTCGTCTCTGGGATGTTTAGATGATGTCGGAATCGACGGGTGGAACGAATTTGAAGGAGAGTACGCGTTTGTCTATGCTAATCCGAATAAAGGGTCGAAGAAACTTCTGGTTAAGTGTTTGGCGATTGATGATAAACTTGTTGTTGATGCCATAGCTGATGGTGGAGTAGAACCTGCTCATCTCGAGATTAAGTATGCCATGCTTCTTCTCTCTTTATTATTTTTTTCTGCAAGATTGTGATTCTTTTTGTGTAAATCTTGAGAGGGTAGTAAAGTTTTATGCTTTTTGTGCAGAGTTGAAGATTATGCTCAGGAAAGCAACGAGGGGAATTATACTTCTCAGTTCAAGAATTTGGACAAGTTGGTGAATGATTTGCAGAGTCAAATTCTCGATAAGCTTGATGGAAAGCTTAAACCTAAGTTCAAACCTGTTTCTTCGAGAACCGAGTCCAGGTGATTCCTTTATCAATCACTAAGAGTCTTATTGCATATAAGCTGTTCTTAGAGGCCTCTTAGTGTTAAGTTAGTGTATCATCACTGGGACTTGCAACGGACATATAATTGTAGATATTAGTAGTGTCACTGGACTCTCTTGGCGCAGTAAACATAGATGTGCTAATTTGTATAGTCCTTTTGTTAATGTCTTAAACACACCAAAATAATGTGCACAAGTGTCTACTAATTTTGTGTGTCTATTTAAAGGTTTTGACTTGGTACAAGTAGTTCTCTTTGTGAAATTTCGTTTTGTGGAGGCAAGTGTTAGTTGGACCAGAATGATGTGTTACCTTATTCTTGAAGTGTATTCTGACATCTCCATTTTTATCATTGGTTCCCTGCAGTTCTGTGACAAATGACGAACCTAGACATTACGATGATATGCCTAATCCACCAGGCCCTCAGATTCACCCCTCAGGGTATGTACATCAACTTCTACTTTTCTCTATCTACTGACTACCCACAGAAATCAAAACGAATCCCATATTGACTTTATTTGTTTCCTAGAGTTGTGGTTCCTCCAATACCCGGTAATGGAGGTTACAGTGATCTCTTCCCTGGCCCAGGTGCTGGAATGTACCCTGGCAGGTGTGTATTCAATATTTTTAATATCTATAGTACAACTGTATCACTCCATATCATTTCTAATATCACTCACCACATATAATTTAATTCTTCCCCAGGGGTGGTTTTGGGGATGGAAGCATGCTTGTAGGTAAGAGCAATCTTCTTGTGAAACGAGATATTTTAACCACTTACTTGATTATAATTTGGTAAACTAATTGTGTTTGGTTGCAGGACCTGGCGATCCTCGCTTTTTCCCATTTGGTGATGGTTCCGATCGACCTGGCTTCATGGGATCACCACAACCGTAAAATCTCTCTTTCTTTCACACAGATTCACAGACATATACATAGCCAAAGATTTGAACACATGGAAAGCTCTCTAAATTGTTTCTGACAAATAAGTAACCATGGATTTTGTTTTGGTTTTGACAGGGGTGTGCCACCGCCTGGTGCTCGTTTTGATCCTTATGGCCCACCCGGTGTTCCAGGATTTGAGCCAGGCCGGTTCACAAGGTAAGTTATCTTATGCACTCAGTAGTATTCTTACTAAACTCCACAGTCAAAGTCTGTTTTGCAAAAGGTTTTGACTCTTGTATATATGAATCTGTGTTTAGGCAACCTCCAAGAAGGCCAGGAGGCGGGCATCCAGATCTCGAGCATTTCCCCGGGGGTTCAGATTTTATATAGTAAAATAAAGCCATCCACGAAGAAACAGAGAAAGTATGTGCACAAAGTCTGGTAGTAACTATCATATAAGACAATAGGATCTACTTGGTTTGCTTTTTGTCAGCTGTTTCTTTTTTTTCCGTTGGTGGTGTTGGTTTAAGTTCCCAGCTGATTGTTTATATCTTAAATACTATATAAATAAAGTTTCGGTTTATTTCGCCTTTAAGTTTTTGTTTGTCAATCTGATACGGTCCCCATACAGAGAATACCGTTTGAATAAATTAACGACATTAAGAACATAAACTGAGACAGAGAGTGAAAGCATCAAATTCATATATTATTGAGGTCCAGTAATAATAATAATCACACTGATACATATAAACATTGTCATTATTCATATATTATACGGTACATGGAGACATAGTAGCTTCCACATAAATCCCACAGTTATATCTCCTTCATTCTTCTAATCGTCAACATCTTACGGAAGTGTGTATGCTACAAGGCACAAGCAAAGGAAAACGAAACAACATTAGATATATCATGAAAATTAAGTGAGAGAGCATAATGTGAAGATATATAAATACTTACGTCCGCACTTGTAACCAACAGGGCGGTTAGCGAAATTGCAGCGTTTAGGGATGGTAAGGGCAACCTCAGGCTGGACACCGGAAGCTTTGGCCGTGTCGGATAGAAGAATGGCACAGAGACATTTAGGGTTCTGCGAAAATCTCTTAATCTGAGAACAACAACCTCCTGGCACGGCGGAGTTAGCATCCTGAGCTGCACCTGCACATGGAGCCAGCTTCATCGCCTCATTGTCTGGCGAAGATCTACCACACTCCCCTGCACCGTCAACGACAGCTCCGACGAGAAGGATCATGCCAAGAATGCATAGAAAATTCATGGAAGATGCCATTTTGTTTGTTTCTTGGAGATGTTCGGAAATAATCAAGATTGTGTGTTTTAGTAGTCGATATTGTGTTGTGGGTTTGAATTTGGATTCGTCAAATGTGTTATTTATATAGCGGAAAATTATGAGCAGGTTTGTAGCACTGACGGTAGTGGAGTAAGCACTTGAGTTGAGTGAGAGGGAGATAGTGTTCTCACCAACAACATAAGTTACAGGTGTTGATGTTTGAGAGATCACTGAACAAACCTCATAATGATTATTTGGGATTATCAAATCGTACGGTGGATTTGTGGGAGTTGTGTCACCACCGTCCTTGTGGCTTTTTAATTGGTTATTTTGTTTTATTCGTTAATGCGAAGCGAACAGATGTAACTATCTAGATCTCTCTTCAACAATCCTGCGTTTGAATTTATTTGAATCAAGAACTTTGTACCACTTGTTACTTACATATATAGAGAGCATAGGTGATGGAAAGTGGAAACCAAAGGGAGGAAGCTGTGAAGATTGGCTCTGTCTGTCTATTATGTTGGAAGGCTAAGGTCTGTGTGCAGAGGGTTTGGTATTAACCGAGGCAAATCAAACTAAAAAGACTAAACAAAATCGGTTAAAGGGCCCTTGAGAGGAGGTGACATTGTTGATCAAGTTTGCTCTGTTTCTGTCAATTATACTAGTCTAGAAACTGGGCTTCAGTCCAGCTGGCCCAACTAACTTGGCCCCATAGTAGTTAAGGTATATAAGACCAGGATTATCGGTCGTATCTTAGGAAGAATTAGGCAAAATCTTAAGTTTTTTCTGATTTAAATTAAATCTAAAATGATGCATAAACCAATCTAATGCACATGACTCGCTTGAAGATCATAACCTATATGATGTACATAATGGATTAGGATCACTATCAAGCTAGAAGAAGAAGACTGAATTCTGATCTGATGCACATAACGGGTTAGGATCACTATCAAACCAGGAGAAGGAACACTTAACAAAAAGTGAAGCAAATCATCCATGGAAATGGGAGTCAGATTTGTTACCTTTTGTCTAAGATTGTTCGTGACATTTGTTAATTATCTGGATAACTAGCATAAACGGTTTTAATATTGACGCTAATATATTTAAGTCAGTTTATAACTGACGTTAGCACCTAAATCAACCGACGTTTAAGTCCGTATTTTTTTTAGTGAAACCGCAACATGTACTACAAAAATTTCACCATGTAAATAATAATTTTCCTTAAATATATCATATTATATGTTTTCATAGAGTCAATGATCAATGTAAGAAAATCCAACTACCATCATGTGATTTATGTATGGCAAACTTAAATGTATATATTTTGGATGAACAAACAATATAGTAGAGAGCCCACCACATGGAGATGGAGTGATTCCAGCAAAGCACACCAAATAAAATTGAAATCATAAGCAAGAAAACCCCAAAACTAGAACAAAAAAGTTCAAGGGCTCTTTAATTTTGTTGTCAATTACAAATACAACCAACAAAGATGTTATTATTATCATTATCATCATTATTGAAAGCATAAAAATGGGAAGATGATTATTTTGGTAGGAAGACATAATATGATGATGAGATCAAGACAGCTTTGTTTAGTGATGAGAATCGTTATCCTTGACAATGGTGACAGGGCAATGAGCGTTTTGCATCACAAAGCTGCTCACGCTTCCCATTATTATCCTGTTTCAATATTGTCAAAATTATATATCAGTCATTTACACTTGGAAACATTTTCATTTACACACAAACCAACGGTTCAGATTCAAAGAGTAACCACTGATAATTGCCACCCTTGAAAAATATCAGTAAGAAAATAGACAAGTGTGTTTTTTTTTCCATAAAAAAAAGTTGTGACCACATACGCTAATTCGATTTTCAAATAAATCTTGCCAAATTAATAACAAAGACAAAAATAAAGCTAATCCATTGTCGATAAACGCTTGACCCTATCCACTTTAGTTGGCAAGTAACTATCATAAGAGTTTTCTTTTTCTTTTTCTTTTTGCCTTAATTATCATATAGAGTTCAATCATTTACAATTTTATTCTTCCTGTGATTTAAAAGGAAAATGAGATGGTTTAAGATCATTAAACCATGGAGTACTCTAAGGCCTCTAGTAATTGTCAGTTTCAGGTAGCACCAAACTATATACTGTATTAATCTCCCCTACTGTATATATAATATATATCACAACTTATTATAGCAGTAATGGCATTTTTGGCAAGACGATTTCTCATTTATAAGTTATAAGAAAATACCTTCGAAGGGCACTAAGTCCTCTGCTTCCCATGACAATAGAGTCGAGTTTGAGATCTTTAACCGCATCAACCAGCTTCTCTCTTGCATCTCCCCAGTATAACTTGGTCACTACATTCACCTTTTTTTTAATATTCCAACAAAACCCACCAATTAAGTTAACTTGTTGTCTCAAAAACAAAAAACAAGTGAAATAAAAGTATTTTTTTGACTGGGATAAAAACCTCCTTCTGCCTCGAACCAGTGTCGAGGATATCAAGACATGCGATGTCGGTTTTGACACCGTATTTCTCCATAATCTCCGGCTCCCTAAACTCCACCAACGGTATGAGAGCTGCAACACCAAATTAAACCGGGTTTAAACCGACAGATCATTCGCAGAATCCATAAGAATTAAAAAAGAACTAGCTAGGAAACTTACGAGAACCGGATTTGAACCAGAGGGAGTTACGAGACTCGTCGTCAGGGATTGGAAGGGTGTGGATGATGTAAAGTGTGTCTCCTTTGTCTGCTAAGTTATCGAAAGCCCATTGAAGAGCGTTCTTGCTGCTCTCCGAGAAATCCATGGCGATCCCGATCTTCCTGTCTTTTGGCATCTTTCTTGATTTTTTTTCAAGAAACCTTTTCAGATGATTCTCTTCTTGAAAAGAAAAAAAAATGGTTGTGGTGACTTGTGAGATATTAGCTTATAGCTTTACAATGTTTTATATAAGGATTTGGAAGTTTCGTCCGATGACTCATTTCTTTGGATCTTATCCGTCCGTTTGCTTTTATCCTACGGTATCAACCTAATGTATGAGATTTGTTTTTGTTTCTTATAATAATAATAATAATAATGAATAATGAATTTTGCTTCTTATTTTAACCGACAGATCGACGATGAAATCTTGTTTTATTGGTGTTTAGAAACATTATTAAGTAACAAATCCACTTACGTACAAGTTTGTATTATATTATACAATTAATTAAATTTCAACAAATCCATTGACTATATATAGGTCCAAAACTTTTTAATATACAGATAATCTTTTTTTGTTACATAAGCTTATTCGTTAAAATTTCATCTTTATTGTATGTATTAAAATTTATTAAAAACTTTAGAGGTGTTGTTTAGAAGTTAGACCCAACATTTTGATGGATCAAAATGATCTTACACTTATGTTGATAAAGCTTTGAATCTGATCATCGCTCTGATTAGATAATTAGTAATGGTCAAGTAGCATAAGGATCTCATTATATTATACAGTACGGCTTTATTTAGTACTAAAAATGACAGTTTATAATATTGAATGATTTGTTTCACCGTTGGATTAGGATCGACATGTGATCGCTGAGCTGTAAGCGAGATTGTCATGAAATTGCACGTTTTGTGATTAATAAAAATAAATATTATGAGTATATGATATGTAAAATGACTGAAAATGTAGACACACAAAACAACAATCTATGTTAGATCAGACATATATATATATCGGTGTGGTGAAAAGCTTTTACAGTGGCGAGGTCGTGGTCCGTTTATTTTACTCATTTTTAACGTATCTCTTATGTAATAATAGCCTACTGCCTACAGAATGTGAACTGAACGTATGAGTAAGACTATTTGCATAAATGATAAAAAAAGGTTTTTTTTTTTTTCTTTTGTCCATGTGTATCTCATTTTCTACATTTTAGAGGATCCCTATCCAACCCAATACGAATATGTTATACGTTATATTATACGTTAATGATGATCAGAGCAACTACGGTTTTCAAAGTATGATTACCTAGAAATGCAAGTCTTTTGATGTGTAGCTAACTACTTATATTTCGTTGGTTTGCCAAAGTTCTGTCTTCGATCAAGACCAATCAACTTATACATTGTGAAACTTCCCTGCCTGATTTAGTTAATTTCTTTGTTCTTTTATTTATTGGGCATAAGTAACTAAATGAAATTTCAGAAGCACCTTTGGGCTGATTTATGTTGCTTATCTTCTATTGGGTCTTATCAAGGCTTTTACTAGTGAAATACATACCCACAATATGTGAGTATTATAGATGCGGCCCTTTGTGACGAGGGTAAAGTTTCTTAGGTATTTGGGCAACAAGAGAGTGCTTGAGGGCTTTGGTTAGCACACTAACAAGGGGGAAAACATGTCGAGCTATATCACTGAGGGTTTTTTTTTTTTTTTTTTTTTTGATAAACCCTATCGGCTTATCCGGTCAGCCCCGGTAGAAACGCACCGAAATGCTTCAGAGTGGACTTCTCCCCGAAGGACCACCACACTGTCTATCCTGAGTTTGGAATGTTTTCCGAGTGAAGGTTCTGTTCAAATTCTGAATAATATGCTTGAAAGCTTTGGTTGATGTGAATTTGGATAGAGTCGGGAACATGAACATTTACAGGAGGAGCTTTGTGATTTTACCGTATTGATAGACAGCTGACAACCTATAAGTGATTGGAGCGTGGAAGTCGTAGTTAAGAGTTATTTTCTGCTAAATTAGTATGTTAAATCCTTTTGTATAAACCGAATTGCAAAACGTAACAAGTGACCACGATTTTTGCAACAAGATCGTTTAAAGCTCTATATATATATATATAGCAATAACCATGAAATATTTTCGGGTCACGATCAAAACCCTATAGATAAGAACTTGCTAAATATATATGATATGATTAACAGAAATCGTACGTAGATGGAGATATCACAAATCTGATGTTCTCTAAAATAAACATGGCATAATATGAGAAATTTACAGGTTTATGTTATATAGACGCGCTTCAAATAAAAGGTTTAATTAAGAAGCCTTTTCTATTTTTGTAGAAGGACTTTTCATACGTAAGGTTAGCTTACATTGCAAGCAAAAACATGCGAGAAGATGTGTACATAACTCTCTCGCGCTAAGAGTATGGTCCGCCGTTTCGTGTATATATGCAATGCATGTGACAACACAACAGTGGAGCCTACGCACGTGCACGGTAACATGTGCCGATCCAACGACTAATACTAGTGTTTAATCCTAAATTTTTCTTTATGCGATTAAAGCTGCAAATTAATATGTTCCTTTAGTGTATCCTGTCGTCGGCTTGTTTTGAGTTTACAACTCACCATCTTTGCGTGTTTTGTGCTATTCCACCATATATAATCAATAACCATGGATCAGACTTCGTACCGGACATTTATTCGGTTTAGCTGTCTGATTAATTACATGTAAGGTCACATATATATATATATATTATTATTATTTGTGCTAAACTTTCAATATATTAAAGCTGCAAGATTTGTATATTTTGATTACTGTTTGTGTTCCGGATTATCTGTGTGAAAAAAGGTTGTGTTGTTTGTGTATTCTTAAAACGTACTATATAGTAGTTTAAGCTGTTCTAAGCATGGGAACTTTGGAATAGTTATACTGTAAAATTTGTGAAAAAAAATAATGCAAAATATATAGCATGTTATTAATACATTTTTTTCTTCTCAAAGTTTTGTTATTGGTATTTTTTGGTTAATCATTCAAGAAAAAAAATCCAATAATGAAGGCTTCCCCCAATCAATTTCGGCTCTCTTTGTTTTTAGTGTTCTGTAATTTGCCTCTGTACATAACTCTCTCATTTGATCAATCAATTACACATTTATCAAAAGAAAAATTCCAATAACTAATATCCGAAAATGATAAACATACTACTAGTCATCAGGTTTTATGTTATTATGTGTGTAATTAGAAAGTGAGGATCGCAGGTTCTAAGCAACTTATGATATATGAATCATATGATCAACCAAAAAAAAAAAAAACTAGAATTGCATAAAGAAATAGTTGAATATACGAGGAAACAAGAGAAGGTCCCATGTGTGTTCTATGGTTGGGTATAGAAGCTGCAGCAAATTATATTTTTATTTCGGAAACAAACATGAAAGTATTATTAAAAGAGATCAAAGGAGACAAAAGCAAACAAGAGGAAATTATGGAAACAAACAAGCTTAAGGCACCTCCCCCAAAAATACTAAATTTGTGTCGTTAAAGCATTTTTAATAAAATATTATCGTGTGATATTATTATTGTTGTCACCGAAATCAAAATGGACTCCACCACCCACCCACAAAGACAAGATAACGAGAAGTAATAGTTAAAAAGAAAACTAAACTCATTGGTTCAATTACATTAGTCAAGATTTTTTTGTCCCAGTTCAGACAGTCTCTCGTGTTGTCCATGTGATGTGGCTTTAATTCTCTGATGTCAAAATAACATCAAATCATATTTAATATTCTTCTTCGCGATGCTGTTTTTACTTTATTTTGTAATATTTATGAACATCAAAACAATTTTTCATGTTTGTTTTTTCTTTCTTTTTGGTAATCACGTCATGTTCTTTAGAGCATGCACATTGGAGTGTATACTAATATTTGGTCCCAATATTAATTTTATTGTATTTATGATGGGGGACAAATAATTAACTTTGGTCCATGAGCATTTGTGTATATAACTTCTTGTCCCACACTCATATTTTCAATTTATTAAAATATTTAATTTTAATTAACAAGTATAAACATATGAAATATTGATTAATATTAAACATAATAAAATTACAAAAATACAAAAAGATGGAAAAAATACAATAACACAATAAAACATAAACCATAGAAAGATTAAAACTACAATGTAAAATAGTGTTAAGCTTATTTTTTGTACGTGGGAAGATATGTGTCTCGATTTTTTTGTAAAGATTGAGAGAGAAAACAAAATGTTGTGTAGCCATTGTTGAAGCAGATCAATAAGCAGTTGAACACAAATCTCGTTACGCTTTGTACATACACACTGAAGTGAAAGCTATGTTGCGATTCTAAACAGACTTTCGAAACAAAACATCAAACAATAACATAGTTGTGTAATATCTATGGACACTCGAAAGTTGAGAGAGAAAAATTGAGAGAGAGGACCAAACCAAAGCAATGTTCCATACGCAGTAGCTCGGTCTTTTGAGTTAAGCTGGTGGACTCTGGCTCTGACCGTTAATCAATCCGTACTGAATAAGAAAAAGAGAATCGTATAACAAAAACGAACACAAACCTAATCGATTGAAAAACCTTTAAGAAATACGTTTTGCAGAGATAATCGATTGAAAAATTCCATAACCTCTATGAACCCTAATCGATTTTGTTAACCCTACCAATCGTTCATAAAAACCCCAACAACCATAGATAATCAATAGATTAACCTCTTCAAACTAAAATCCCCAATTATCTAACCTAAAACTCAAATCGGATTTGGATTTGGAAGACCTACCTTCCAAAGTGATCCAATTTTCGTTCGCCGTCTTCAAAGATCTTCCTCTGCCTACGGCGAAGCTTTCTACCGAAGAGATGACGTCGATTCTGAAGTTTCCTCGTCGGAAAATCGTCAGGCACACCAATCACCTCTGGAATCGCCTCTTCGCAGCCGAAGTCGAGAGAAAGAGAGAGAAAGAGAATGTGAAAAGAAACCAAGGACCCCCAAAAAAAATTTCTTCCCTTTAGCACTCATCCAATCACCCGTTGCCATCTGGCAAGAGGGACGAGTCGAATTTGTCCCATTTTTAAGAACGTATACTCACATAAATCGTATTATTGATTTATTTTTTTACAAAAAAATGAATGGGACGAAGCGTGTATACGCTAATGCGGATGCTCTTAGGAAATAAATGTTTTTTTCCAACATCTTTTATGATCATAGATTCATAGTTGGCAAAAAAGTTCATAAGCCAGCTAGAGAGTAATTAAGTTATATTTTAGAAATCAATTAGGACACTTGTCATTTTGATGTTCACATCTAATAGTGATATCTTAGAATACAATGTAAAATAAGTAGTTGATGAGTCTTACTTACATTCTTGATTCTTCACGTTAATTAACATTATATAAAGCGTTTATGGTTTATATCTCAAAACTAATTCGGAACTAATATAGACTACTTCATATTATAAGTTATGAAAGCCTCCTAAAATTAACACAGTATTAGAACAAAAATGGCTGACCCAAATAAAATGGTGAGTTTGTTATATCCAAAAAACTAGATATCTTTTCGAAATAAAACTAGAACAATCACACCATCTAAGACCAAGAATCACCTAATTAGCATAACTAAAAGATATGAATCATCAAATCGTTATCTACTCCTTGTTTTTAGTTGGAACGCATAACCCCTAGCTAAAAACACAATACCTAACATACAACTTACAAGAGTAATAGTATTCTCAATCACTTTATGATAAAATTTAGCAGCCAATATCTATATATATATTATATAATCAGTCAGCTAATTTGCCGAACCAATCTTATGATAAAGTATGTATGGATGTCTTTAATTATCGTCTGGGATCGACGGCCTCTTCGACTTTATTAGTATTATTAACTATTAAGATAAAAATTTAAAAGATATATATTACAAAGACAGGAAAGCATGTCATGCACGTTTTATGGCCCTGGAATAAAAAAAGATCAATCAAACAATTCACATATGTCTGTGTTTAGGTCATACATAACGGTGTGTATACATTGTTATTGTAACACCTTTTATTAAAGTTACGGAAGATGATTTGATCGTACTATCACAAAACGAAGATTTAAAAAGTTTTTTTTTTTTTTTTATGGTTCAAGGCTAAGATAACCTACGATAATGGAGTTGGAGTAGTCTTCACACTAGTTTAAAAGCATGATCAACAATAATATTATTTGAGTTGGTTGGTATAAATAGTTGCTATATAGTTATTATAGTCGTGATAAGTCAAAGAAGTAGAAAACGATGTTGTAATTGAAATTGTAATAACTTCGTTTTGTCTTTCGGCGGAGAAAAAGGAGAAATAGTTAGTAGTATTTTGGGGAAAACTAAAGATCGAAGGGTCTCTTCTATTCTCTCTTTTGTGCTTTCTCACTTTTTTCTTTCTTTAGTTTTTGGAAATGTGTTCTTTGATTTCGGAAAGTTTGTGGAGACCAAATGATATAATTACGATTCATCATCCCGTCAGCATAATCCAACGCATGATCTACACACTAAAGCTATAAGTAATCTAGGAATTAACGAAGAATTTTTAAGCACACTATGTACTTTTTGTTTATGTTTTTGTTTGTTTGTCACACTCACACATATGATCCGGAATCGGAAGCCTGCTTAACCCAGCTATGTAACCCACGTAACGAAGAAACTTAAAGATAGAAAAAAGTATCTAGCTGTAAAGGTAGAGAGAGTACGGCGACAATAATAGTGTTTAGTAAAAATCCTTGATGTCTTGTTTAGGGGAAGTGGTAAAGGAATTTGAGAAGTCTTTCTTTTTCTTGCATAAGCATGACAATGACAGATATTGACATGCAGATCTAAAACGCATTACTAATAATTAAACTTGTATTATTATGTTACTACTACTTCATAATACCATCAAACTAGATAAACATGATGATCTTTAATCAACATCTCTCACAATCTTGTGACATCTTATGTTAATCCCATGTCTAGTGGACTAAAAAATCCGGATCTGTCACAGTTTACGTAATCGCCGTTGTATATAACTCAGGATAATTATTTTTTTTATAAGGGAACCATTATCGTAACTAGATTTTCTAGTTTTTTGTTTGTTGTTAAAAATAAAAATTAGTGGGAAATGGGAGAAAAGATAACTTGTACGCGAAGAATAAAATCTCGTTCCCCCCCTCTCTTGCCAAGTGGATCATTAGATGGGCCAAATGTCTAACCTCACGACACCCAACTAATTAAACTATGCCACGTGTGTTTGCCACGTCACATCACCGTCGTGCAGTGCAGATTGAAATGTTTTGTGTTTCGGCACCGTTCTATTAAAAAAAAAACACACAAACGGAATTTTTGTTAACTTCAGAAAGGGTAAAACCGTCATTTGAGTAATCTCGAGAAAGTAGCCCCATTAAAAACCTAAAGAAACGCGCTTTCCACGACGGTTTGTGTTGTGTTTTGTGGTGTCACACCATATCCTTAATCACTTTTACCATAATATCCCTCTCTCAAGTCTCGATCCATAGTATTAATCATTTCATTAATTCAAGATTTTAACCCATCATTTTTGAATACACGAATAAATGTTCCATGTACCTAAACAAGAGACGCGACTTGTCTATTCTCTACCTTAATTAGATATGAACAAAAATCCTTAACAGGAATCAAAAACGTCTAATACACGCTTTCACATTCGATAACCTGAATCTAGACTCTCCTTCTTCACTCAAGTTGGAAGGTTAATAAAGTAAAAATACTACAAAAGACAGGCACGTGCCATGCCAATTACGGTTATAACCCCAAATCACGTGGTTTAGTCAACTCGCTTTTTACAGATATTCCGAACAAGTTAGTAGTAGTTGTTGGACCCGCACTCTCTCTCTCTCTCTCACACCTTTCCTGTACGCTGTATCATAGGCGCGTGAACTCCACTTATAAACCGTAGGCGCGTTTATAGAAGAAGAAACCTTCTCTCCTCTCTCCCCTCTCCCCCACCACCACCACCACCACTACTACTTGATCTTCTTCTTCTACAAATACCTCACAGTCTCTTTCCCTCGTCTTCCAAGTTTTTTTTTTTTGTTTTCGCCTGAGACTGGGTCCCCGAGTATTCATAAACCTCATTATTGATACTTAAACAAGCAGCAACCTCCGCTTTTTTTATAAACTCTTCCTCGATCTCCGTGAAAAATAAAAAAGTCACTTAACAAAACTCATGGAACCGAGTAACGTAACCGACGATGCTGAGTTTTGGCTTCCGCCGGAGTTTCTCACTGACGACGATTTTCTCGTTGAGAAAGAGAACAACGGTGGAGGACTCGATGACACTTCCCCCTACGAGCCGCGTCTTGGATTTGGGGCTTTTGGCTCTGCCGTTAAGCCTAACGCACTGTCTTTGGAGAAGGAAGGTGGCGATGACGATTTCTTAGCCGGATTGACTCGCCAGATGGTTAAGTCATCTCTGGAAGATGATTTCTCCGGTGGATTTTGCGCTGATCACTCTTTTCCCGCTGGTAACAACAACAAGGTAGTTCGATTTTTACCTTTTAAGTGTTCTCAGTCGTCTTATCTGTTTTGCAACGGTTTTTTTATTTTATTTTTGGGTTTTATTTATTTATTATTAATTGTTCAGGCTTGGGGTGTGAATCGCGCGCCTCTGTGTGTCGCCGGTACCGGTTGCTGTTGCCAGACTCGGAGATCAAACCAGAATTGCAACTCGCGAGTTTCTTCATGGGATCTCTACTGTGCCGCGGCGGAGGAAGTTGCCAGAATGAGTATCATCGACGAAACGTACCATAGTGGCAGAGGACTTCTCGCTCCTCCCTCGAAACCTTCCTCCGCTGCCACCGCCACCGCCGTTAAAAACCTCCCTAACAACGGCACCGGTTACTACAACCACCATCAATCTCTCCCATACCAGAAACTACAAGCTATCCAAGTAAAATCAGAAACTCTTTAAACATTTGATTTTATTTGTTTTTTGTGTGCACGATTTTGCTGATTGGTTTGTTTTCATTTGTCTTGTTGTGTGCAGTTTCAGCAGCTAAAGCAGCAACAGTTGATGAAACATCATCATCATCGCCAATTGGTGCATCAGAGCAGAGGAGTTATACTTAATAATGGTAGCAAAAATGTTGGTCCAGTGGATTTGTCGTCTTCTGCATGGTCTAATCAGCTTCCGAGGCGTGATGTTATGAGAGCTGTGTTCATCGGAGACCATACCAGAAAACGTGGCTCAACCGGAACCGGAGTCTTCTTACCCCGAAGCGTCAACCACACTTCTTCGAGAGCTGAGATTCGTGACGAGAAGCCCAGTAAGTTCCAAAATTCTCAATTTCCTCAGATGTAATTTTTGGTTATCCTAAACGTTTTATTGGTTTCTGATGAGAAATGTTTTTTATTCTTTGTGTGTTATAGCTTTATCCACTGTTTTGGTTCCGGCTAGACTGGCTCAGGTCCTGAATCTGAACGTAGGCGAACCGGTCCGGACTTCGGGAAATCTCAACGGTATAACAAAATCTCAAACTCGAGAGCTTATTTAAGTTAAACAGTCAATTTTATAAATCATTTGGTTTAATTTCTTGTTAATCGTGCAGATGTGTCGTGGAGACAGAGGAGCAACAATGGTGGGTTCTCAAGCCAGCTGCACGGTGGTGTTAGGGCGGAGCAGGCAGTGAACGAGCCTAGGTTACCATCGGAATGGGCTTATTGACTGATTTGGTTTTCGTGACTTTTGGGGTGTGTTTAGGGTGTGAAAATTTTAAGGATTTGGAAGAAGATTAGGATTTGATGACAGGTAGTGAAATAGTGGAGTAGGGCTTTTCATATATAGGCAGTGCAAGATTTGGAAGAAGAAGAAATAAAAGAAAAGATAGAGTAAGGGGGTGAAGTGACGAGGTTTTGGATCGTTTAACCACCATTGATGGCTGATAGATGAAGAAAAAGAGCATTGAGAGAGACAGAGACGAGGCGACTTTTGTCTTCTTTATTTTTGGTTTTTTCCTTTTGGAAATTAAAATTTGTCAAAGTCTGTCACCGGGCTGTTCCTCTCTCTCTCTCTCTCTCTCTTTTGTTCTCACAACTCTTAAAGCAATGGACAAGTATTAATTAGTAAAATAAAAAAGATTTTTGTTAATAGTATAATTTTGTTCGCCCATTAGATGGAATCTTCAAATTCAGTCACCTCATTGTTCTTTAAACACCCATAAGGTGATTGATCATATATATTTCAAAAATCTTTGCACGCCGAATCATTTACATTAATAAGCAACTTTTTAGTTTTTGAGCGATTGATGAATACAGTGTGTATTTTAAAAATTCTTTAATTATGGTTCCCACAAACAAGTAACAACCCACGTAACTAGGTGACACAAACCGTCTTAGTAAAGATTAAGAGCTACGAACATCCTAATTAACCGTGTCCTACACAAAGTAGTTTCAGAAACGACCATAGATCTAAGAAGAAAAAGTTGTAGTACCATATTTAGTTGGTTTTTGAAAAATAAATTTGACTGTATGTTGTTAAGAAAAGAAGTACACACACTGCTACACTACTACTAAGACACAAGTGACCACGGATATATAATACAAAAGGAAAGGTAACTTTATGATGCAGCAGGGAAACCAAACTCTTATTTTTTCTTCTCGTTAGACTCCGCCTAATGAGCCTTGCTCTTAGCAACAAAACACAGCTCTCTCCTCCTATAGGATTCTAACTCATAACCAAATATTGAGGCCAAAGAAAACAACTCAAAAGTAAGGAATTTGGCAACCCATTAAATTAATACACTCCTGGTACTCATGTAGTCTTTTCAAGCTGAGTACATTAATAGTAGACTGTAGATCATATGACTAGGATTAGAAGCACACGAACAGTTAAAGAAGTGTGTTTTGATTTAAATGCTGAAAACAATCTCTACGGTGGTCTTCCTTCTTTAATCTTTGTTGTGGTGCAACGTGCAGACATTGTCCTAATTAGCAGCCCCATTTGCTATTTGTCGTCGTTTGATTATAATATTTGACAAGTTTTCTAATAATCGACATTAGAGTTAATGGCAGATGTTTTTTACTTGTCTTGGTTTTCTCGGTGAGTTGAGTTTGTTTCAAAATGCATGCCAAGTACGAAATCATTTAAGTCTTATAGTAGTATGTTTTATTATTTTCCTTAGATTACAATATTTTCCTATGTTTAATTATTTACTAGTTATTGATGCTTTGACTGCTTCACGCGGTTCGTTGCCTTCTTAAAATTATAAATTGTTTGGATAACATTATTGAAAGGTACTTACATTTTCACATGACTCCCCGCATTTATGCTACTTTCTTCTTTTTCTTTTCTTTTATGTGGTTCCACATACATACATGCTGGTCTCTGTTTATACGTTTTTGATTTTCGAGTTTACAATCTTGAAGTATTCATCTTGGGAGTCTCGTAATAAGGTAATTACAATACTAGATATATTATTATCCAATCCAATATATGAAAAAAAAAAAACATAAGCAAGAGTATATAAAAACATGTCCTATGATAAAACAAATCAGCAGCAGTATTGGTTAAGGTGAGTTTTAATGAAAGTTACGATGCTTGATTTTTAAAATTAGCTTTCAAACTAGTACGTACTGTATTATATAATAAGCTCTATCATGCAACTCCATACACTTACATATTTTCTTCTTCTGTCACCAATTGTTAAAAACAGGTTGACCTAATTGCAACTATCTGTATCTATAATTCGATTCTTGTTTTGTTTGTTTTGGGCCTTTGGCTTTTCTTTGGTCAGTCAAATATTTTCCTCTTTTTTTTTTTCTTTTTTTTTTTCTGGATTCTGAATCTTAAGAAAGATAAAAGAGGAAAAAAATAATAATTGAGTAAATATGGTTCGGTTCTAGCACATGTAGATTGTAGAAATTTTCAATAGTCTAACTTATTTGCTCAACTAACAACCACCAACCCATCACCAAATTTTCGTTTACGA